ATTCACAAATGAATAGAAAGTTCAAAAGAACAGCATTTATTTGAACAAAAAAAATACTAATGCATTTCTAGGAAGCTTCAAATTCACCAAAGTCTGTCAAGCTTGGAAAAAAGTGGATTTTTTTCTTAAATTTGGGTTCCTCACACAGAGCATCTTTAGAAGACTTATCACTTATATATATTATATAATAATAATATAGTAATATCACTCCTTTGGTGTAGGATTTACTTTGAAACAATTTTCCTTCAGAAATTAGTAGTAAATTTGACAAATACAAGCAAGTAACACATTGAATTAAATGTAAAAATGTTACACCTTCGAAAAATATTTTTTACAGTGCAGTGTATATACTTTTATGCTGCTTCTTAAAGCAGTTTTCTGATTTTAAATCTACAAAAATGCATATGTATATTTTTTTGACATTTTTAGTAGTTAAGATCATTGATTATTAAAGCACATTTTACAAGAAAATACAATTTCAGATTTTCTACTTAAAAATTTAAATTCAATGTGTTACTTGCCATCTTTTTGTAATTAATTGTGAATTTTACAAACAACTTTTGAGATTTTTTTCCCCAGTGTAACATATACATAAACCTAAATCTATAGACATGAACTACAACTCACGTTTTGCTTTTATCTGGTCTGCATATATTAATATGTTGATTATGCATGTGTGTGTTTGTAAATATACAGGCGTGCAGGTGTGTGCAGTGAGTCTCACAGCTGCTGTTTCACTGAACAGATCCCAGGAAGGAGAGCGTCTGAATTATGGCCTTCTTCACTCATCAGGAACCAATCTTCTGTTCTGTTGAAGCTTCTCATCTCTTCCTGCCCGGCTCAACAGTTTATAAAACACTCTCCTCCATCCGTCAGACCTGTTACTGTCAGACAGAAAACAATATCAACTCACAACCACACAGCTTCAGCTGGAGAAATAGGGAAGACAGAACATTCTGTAAGTCTGACTGTGTTCCTCCCTTCGGTTCTGGGCTGGGTTTGTCAAGACAAGCCCTCATTAGTGAACAAACTCATCAGTGCAGTCGAGTTGTGCTGATTGATTTGTGTGTTTGCATTGATAAGGCCATTAATGCACTTCGCTCCTGATACAGCAACGTCTCTGATCTGTATTTTCCT